GTAAGAAATTCTGTCCGTCAATTTTTGGTGAACCCCAGCACTGTATACTTTTGCCCAATTCGAAATTGATCCGTAGAAGGTGAAGTCATCCACAGAGTAGGCAACTGTGACGTTCGCTTGGGTCAGTTTTGAGGAATCCCAAACCGTCTCAAGGCCAAGTAGATAGTCCTTCTGTCTGAAAAGCATTAAGGCGTTGTTTGGTAAACGGCGAGAGTAATCACTAAACAAGTAAGTAGGCTTTGAGCGCCTCCTTTGCCGGAGTCGTAAGGGCAATAATCTGTGAGTTCAACCTCCGAAGAGCATGAGCATTAGGTTGCTGAAAATTTAAATACACAGACTTCCACAATCGTGGTTAACAGTCTTTTTCTTAAAAAAGTGCTTTAATACGCCTATTAAAATGAGGAATCCACTAAAAAGCACACCCGTAAAAGGTGCTAGCAGGTTAGTGGAGGTGACCCTTAGCATAACAGTTAATACGAACATTTACAGGTTAAATTTTGTCTGGCAGTATTCAAGAAGTTCCTCCACAATGTAAAAAATTGTAAGTCAGGCGATAATATAGAAGCAGGACTAGGCGAGTAGAAAAGCTGAAAGCCAACATAAATCAGCATCTAGTAGCACCGCTATTAAAACAAATTACACAATAGAGCGAAATGTACATACATACATGCAAATGTACCTACATACATCGAACTGTGCCAGGGATCAAGCGCAAGAAGTGAAATAGTTATTGGTCCAATGGAGTTTAGACAGCGTCGCATTATTTGAAAGGGTGCCTGGTACAATATATAACAGATGCATACTTAGTTTTTGGGCCGTGAACTGGAAAACAGGATCTCTAAATTGGAATTCGGCAGTTCAACTAATGAAACCGATGAAAAAGACGAGCACAGGGAAGTGACGGCACATAGAATATGGATGAATATGTCAAACGTTAAGACCCATAATAACGAGGAAGAAAATTCGAATCAAACAGTTAGAACGATGAATATGATTTAGTGCAAAAACAAAGTTTTCAATGGTAGTTCCGCACCCAATAACACATGAAGCAGAAACATCCGGCGGACCCGACTTTAGAGCAAGATCCACCTGAGCATTGATCGCGGTGCCCTTGTAGTTATTTTTAAAAAATGCCCTTTTACGCCTTAGAAGAAGAAAGCAATGAACATGGAAAAATTATTACCCAGAAAGAGCATCATAAGTCATCCTAACCGTTTGCTTTAAGCCATCAAAAATCTTATCTTCGAAAGAAAGGTCCGCAGAAAGAACATCTCTAGTGTTCCACTTCTCACTAAGAGTAAACCCATAATCTTCGAGTTTAAGCTTCGATTCTATTGTGCCAAAAGTCTAAAAACGCATAGAGAAATATTCAACATACTTTTTGAGCATCTATCAAACTGTCTGTGCGCGTCGTGAAGTCTACGAAATCATGATTTCCTTTGAAGGAGAAAAATGCTGTTCCAAAATTATAGTTTTTTCTAAGGAACTCGCGAACCGCCTTAGAGATATCAGGATAACTCGGAGGCGACATCTCGCTAAGGGTGATATTATAGGGTTATTATTACAGTTTGGTACGTATTTGAATTGTGAGCCACACATGCATACCTGGTGAGAAGAGTTGTCTTTAATTAGTTACTTAAGAAAATGGCAACTGATTCCGTACTGAATGTGTAGGCGCTCAGACACAACTAACCACCAAGAACGAACTAATTTAAGACCTCGGAAGGGTTCAGAGGCGTGAACCCTCACAGTACACAGCAATTTACGGCGAATTCATTTGGTAGAATCATGGAGGCTTTTCTATCCAGACAGGCGTGGTGGCAGAGAAGTGGCGTTGGTTCTGAGAGGAAACAGAAACAGCGAATGTCTAACATATCCTCTTCCGCTTATTTATTGGAGTTCTGCCTATTCTTGGACAATCCGATCCATGGCACGCGAGGCGCGGATAGCGGACATGAACATTCGGACCTACGAAGCACCTTATGTTGATTTGTCATCTCCTACAGTGGAATCGACTCCCGAAAACGTCTCATATATATGGGCGGCACGCGTGACCAAGGGTATCCTGTTTATTCTATTGAGTAGCATACGTCGATTGACTGTTCCCCGCGTGCATTTCTCCGTGGCTTGGCCTGATGCGGCCCAAGTAGTCACGTGGTCTTTCCACCTTGTTCCAGAAATCCATTGCGGTACCCGTCTCCATTGCAAATGCCAAATGTATGAGATCATATAATTATTTTCTCCTTAAGTACGCACCAATTGGAGCCAATACTCAGTGACCTGTAGTTATTTGCAGACGGAAGATGGTGACAGACTTCTAATTACAAAATATGCACCTCGTACAAAATGCGGTCTAGAAGAGCCAGTCGAACAGCCTGACCAAGGGAGAAGCTAGTTCCTTTCAGATTCTTGTCGGAAGTTCATCGGGACCTGGGAAGTCGGTTATTTCAAATGTACAAACTCTTCCTGGATTATTCCTTGATTGAAGGAGAATACTTCGATGGTAGGCATTTTCTCGTCATTATAAGCGGGGAGAAAATTGGATTCTCTTGTTAGGGCGTGCTGAAGAAGTCACAGAACTGTTCTGGGTTATGTATGGCCTCCTAGATTTCCGCAGATTCGGTATTTCGAAACATATGTAGTGGATCCTAATTGTGTGTTTCTGTCATCTGTGTGTAAAACACTGTGAGATAGATCATGACACGGTTAAACGTTTCAAAAATGCGGATCTTTGGAGTTAAACATTGTTATGCTGTTGATATTTAACTTAAAAGTGTTGTGTGACTGAGGTTCTCTTCGAATGGGTGATCCTTTCCTGTGTTTTACAATTTTATTAACTTCATTCTGGCAGCGAATCTGTACGTTAACCTTTTTCCTCTAGTTAAATTAATTGGTGTCAATCAGTCTATTTGGAGAAGAGAACTGAAGTCGTTGTAAACTCAGTTTCAATGGTATGGATGCGTATAAAAATCAGTCAAGTACTAAAGTACTTTCCTGTAGTTTACCTGTGCAAAATGCATATAAATAAGATTGACATATACAAGTCAACAATGGGCAGAATATGCGAAATATCAGCGAACCACACACATGGCATTTGCAGTATGCAACATTCAGCAGATTGCTAAAATGCATGGAAAAAGCAATTTAACGAAATTACAATAGTGTTTTGGTCACAGTTTACGAGGCAACGTAGTAAATGGTGATTTAAGGGGGTCTGTTCGATCTTTTACTGGTGAATTTCCAAACGCCTCACTAACAAAGTCCTCTTACGACTGACTCTCCACCAGGAATGTCGGAATACTGACTGATGTTGGGAAGTCCCATTTGAAACTGGGAATCCTGTCGTCCAATATTCATTTACAG